ACGAAAGGATGTTCTGTTTCCAGCGGCGGTCTGCGACGGGAGCTTCTCTACCGTCCTGGCTCCTCAACCCCGGGCAGGTTCTCTTGAAGAAATACGTCCGCGGAAAGCTTGACCTACCAGTCGAGCCAGTCGAACTCCTGGAGGCGAACCCGCACTACGCTTTCGTGCGCTATCCCGGCGGCAAGGTCGACACGGTCTCTGTGCGAGATCTCGCCCCCGGCGGTTGTGCACAGCAACAAGGAAACGAGAAGGGAGAGGAAGCGGGCGAGCCGGGTCCCCGGGCATCCGTTCGGAGCCCTCGAGCACGCCGCTCTCGAGCCGCCAGTCCCCGGTGCCCTCAAGTGCGCCGCCATCGTACGAGTCAGAAGCGGTCCCGGGACCCTCAAGCGCGCCGCCACCGAGCGAGTCAGAACCGGCGACCGAAGTGCGTCGGTCTAACCGGACAAGGAAGCCAGTGGTGCGCCTTAACATATAAGAGCGTGTACTGAGGCGCTCATCGAAGCCAGACGTGCGCCTTAGCTTATGCAAACGTGTACAAAGACGCCTGTTGCGTTGTTCGTTACATTGCTACTCGATTTCTGCCTACTCGTGTCTTTAACACAGCGGGGGAAAATGTGATAAACCACCCATTACTGACGAATGTGGTGCTCTCGCTAACATCTGTTATTTCTGTTTCGTCCTCAGGTGCACACTCATATCGGTCGAATTTAGTTGAATAAAACCATTGTATTCATACTACAACTTTTGGTACCACACCTTGATGGAACGCGCACTTGATAAAACATTTTCTCGATATCGGCCATGACTGCGAATGGCCGTTCTCTGAATCTCATCAGAACGCCGAGGAGAGAACTGGTGAGGTTTGGGCCCTGCATAAGACGATCGTTCAGTGAGGCGTTTCGAAACTTTTCGGAACAGTCGTACACTACACGAATCTTGTCCGGCTTGACGGGGTGGTACACTCCATGATGTGGAATGTACCAGGTTTGCCCAGCGGTTTTGAGGTGACTGTCTTTGACTCTCTCGGCATAGTTCTTCTCGATCAAGTCATTAACAAATTTCTTGTAATCTTCCATGTACTTGTCGTTTTTGTTCATTTTCCTTTTCAGGTGCTCAGCTCTAAGCAATGCCTGTTGCTTATTGTCTGGAAATGGCGCGTCTTCTTTCAGAGGTAAGGGAATCTCGTAATGTCCATCGATATAGCGTGTTCCCGCTTCGACCGTTTTCAACCACACTCTGTCCTCCACTGACAGTCCCACGTCGGTGGAGCTGCCGTTGTCTTCGAATTCCTTATTATATAGCGAGACGAACTTGTCATGAATATCAGAATCACCTCTGAGTACACTGACTCTGTTTACTCTTGCCGCTCCATGATCTCTGGTAGATCGGAGTTCTCGGGGTCCATACACAGCCCAGCCCAGCTCTGAACGGAACGCAAATGGCTCGCCTTCACCGCCTCTCCTGACCTCAAGTGGACACAAAGCCTCGGGACAGTTTCCGCCAATCATGAGGCCGATCTCAGCGTCTACTTGTGTCAGAGGAATTCCCTTGAGATGCATCCATTTACCGATGTCGGCTGGGGTTGCGATGTCCTCGTGTTAACTGGTATCCTTTCAAGTGTGTAGGTGGGTGGCAGCTGAACAGCAGTTGAAGAATGAAGGCCTGTAATAGATAAGCCCTCGACTACTTGACATTGTACGGACTGATTTTCAGAAGCAGCAGTCATCATCGTCAGCCTTGTCGCTTTTCCCTTGACGTTCAGCCTTTTAAGCAGAAGATCCGTGCAGAATGTTGCACTTGACCCGAGGTCCAGAAACGCATGAGTGACGACCGATCGTGAGCCGTCAGGTGATCGAACTAACACGGGTATCACTGCCATCATTGTGGACGAGTCTCCGCGAGCACCGGCCGCCACTTCTGCGCCGTCTATTTCCAATCGTCCGTTTCTTACGACGGCTGCCGGCCCTGCACTGCTACCACTGCTTTGCTTGCTTGTAGCAGAAAATTCGGAAGGAGATGCCTGCTTGTCGTTGTGCAGCGGAGTCGGATGGCGACCCTTGCAGATCTTGCAGGACAGCCTTTTTGTGCACACACTGATCTGATGCCGCTGCCGAAGGCACCCGAAGCAAAGTCTTTGTTCAACGATGAACGTTCTTCTCTTTTCATAGGGCTCATGATTCAGCCTCTCACAGGAATCCGTTGAATGCTGCTCGGCACAGTACAGGCACGTCATCACCCGAGGAGATGCGTCCTTATTGACACCTGTTGCAGACACGATATGAGGCTTCTTACCGCTTCCATCTGGCTTGGTCAGCTTCCCGAAGGTAGGATCTGTGATTTTTCTCACTTCTCTGTCAACGAAAACTACGATGTCTTCAAATGTCACCTTTCTGTTTGCTTCTTCCTTTATTTGTATCACTCTATTGCGCCAGCTGTCCTGGCAGTGATAGGGAAGCTTTTCCACTATCTTGCGCATCGTTCTTGGATGGTCGGTCTCTCTCGACCCTGGAGGTACATCTTTCATCACGTTGAAACACGACGTGAGCGCGATGGAGAACTTGTCCAGGCTGTCCACATCACCCGGCTTGATAGAATTCCAATCAGTCAGAATGTCGATAAATGCTGAAGACACCGAATCAGGGTCTCCATATCGCCTGTTGAGCAGGCGCCTGGCCTCCAGATAACCCGACCCATCTGACATAGGGCGCATCCACGTACGATATCAAGAGGCTTCCCGCGCAAATAGGTCTGAAGATAATAAAGCCTCTCGTCGGGATCATCAGTTTTACTGGCGACTCTGGAGTCGAAAGCTCTAACAAAACTGCGATACTTCGTTACATCGCCGTCGAAGACCGGTATCTCCAGCTTAGGCAACTGGCCCTTCTGAAGCTGAGTGAGCAGCACCCTTGAGTAGTCTGCCTGCTGTGACTGCTGAGACTCTGTATGACCCCTCTGCTCTGTCGCTGCTCCTGCTGCCTCCGAGTCGTCTGTGCTCCTAGCCTCGTGCGTGGTGGGCTCCCGCGATCTCCCAGACGGTCCATCAGAACAGCGACGCTCTTGAGTAGGGTTCCTGAGCCCTGTTTCTGGCTCAGCATTCCCAGAAGTCAGAGACTGAGAGGACAGCTGGTTTTGTCGGTCGGAGAAGGATGTGACTGGTCGTGCCGTGGCCGCCATGCCCTCTGGCTGATCAGCTTCCGCCAGGATCTTCTCTCTTGCCTCCGATTCTGCAAGCTCGGTTCTTATCATTAGTTCCTCTCTACGAAGCCGAAGATTCAGCTCCTCCAATTCGATTTTACGTTTCTCCTGCAGAAACGAGGCTCGTACCAGCAATGCAGCTCTTTTTGTCGCTTCAATAGCTCGCAGTGAGCGCACTGAGGCGGCAGAGGCGGAAGTGTGACAAGAGACAACTGACTCGCCACACACGGATTGGTCATTCAACGCCGCCTCAGTTATGGAGTCGTTATCTTGTCCGTTGTAATCGGCGTCTTCCCGGTTCCTGCTAGAACCATCGTCCTTTTCATGTCTCATAAGCTCTTGCAAACGTCGAACTAGAACGGCCTTCGTGCCCTTAATATTTGCGTGTCTCTCCCTCAGTCGCTCTTTCAACTCACTCACGGTAAGTCTGTCAAGCTTGTCCATTTTGTGACTTCCGCGAGTTGCGTCCGATTAACCAATCAAATGCAGCACAGTGGACCGATTGATCTGCTGTGATGCGTTGAATGCGATCGTCTCTCACGTCAGGCCAGGACGAGACGAGACGTCAGCCGTGAAGCGCGTATGAACTTGCCTTCAGACGTTTTCAATTGGTGCAGTCAATCTGTCACGCAAGTCCACTAAAGCCGTCGTTTCCTTGGAAATACAAGAGCTTTTCACATCTTGCAATCATTCTTAGGCCTCATCTCGCAAGCTATTGCAGTCTTGCCAACTTAATCTCGCTTACATCCAAATATGTCATTGTTCTTGCATAGTTCTACGCTTTACCTTCTCGTTTGGCTTTAACTTCGCACAAAGCTTTATCTTAAAGCTTTTACTTGAATGCACTGGCTTTAACTAAATGCTTTAGCTTGAATGCATCAGTTTAAACTTAACTGTGAAAAGTTTTAAATGCAAAGCCTTTAAACTAAATGCAAGCTTTGACTTCGAACAAAGCCTTAACTTTAAGCCTTTACTTTAATCCATCAGCTTTAAGTTAAGTTAAATGCTAAAGCTTTAACTGTAGCCGCCGAGCCGCTGTTCGCTGTAACGGACATTATTTTCGATTCGTTGGGTGAGATGCCTTTGGTGAAATGCGAAACTTCAGCTAATGATTTATTCAAATCTTAGTTCATCTCTATGTCATGTCATGTCGTTAAAGCTTTATGCATCTTACGGCTCAGAGCTAAATCAATTAGTATACACAAAACTACGCATCGTAATACAGCAATCGAAAACCCACCAATTTTAGCCTTTTTCGATGACCTGGAAATTTAAATTAAATCTCGCGGGCATCGCACGCGAATATAACTAACGGCGCCGCCACATGACAGACTATTTACAAATATGTACAATACCGTATCGGAATAACGTGATGAGGCGGCAACACATACATTCTGATTTCTGAACATTTAGCACGTCACTGGCGGATCCAGCGGAGGGGGCATTTAGAGCCATGCCCCCGCAACGCCTGAAATTGACAAATATTAGTGTTTTTTTAGACATTAAAAAGAAAACTCCGCAAATTCTATGAGGAAAAGCTTGTTTTTAACTGCACAGCAGTGCGTGAAGAATCAAAATCCGATAAGTTTTTGGAACTTGGAGAAGCTTTTCTAGGGACTAGGGCTATGCCCCCCCCCCCCCACACACCCCTCCGGCCCGCAGCGTCCAAGGCCGCATTTCTGGATCTGCCCAGGAGTGGAGCTTCCTATACAGCTGGTGGGGCAACTTGCCATTTTGCCCCACCAATAACCGTTTTTCTCCCACCCACTTAAAGCCCACTAATTCATCCCCTGAACTGTACGCAGGGACGCTGATAGCGTCTCTGACCGTGCCGACTGTGGCAGACTCGATCGAGTCTTTAGAGGAGCTGGCTTTCCAGGACGAAATCAAATGGACCTACCGCATCTACTCGTCCATGGACAATCTGTTCAGGGTGAGACAAGCTGATTTCTGCAGCCTGCAGGTAGAGGCCGGTAGAGCTATTTATTTGTAAGAAGGAATACTGCTTTAGGCCATGCAGTCAAGTCCCTCTAACTATGCTTATGCATCTATATTTTAGGCTCACATCGTAAAAAAAATACGCTTAGGGCGTTTCGCTTACTGTCAACTCGTATCAACTCTCGAGACTAGGTAGTTCATATTTCGTAAGTTAAATCTCGTCAAATATTTGTTTATGAACATTTCAACCTTTCTTTTGTGTTTCATTTATCCACTCTCCATCCTTCTTGCACCGTTTCATTCACATGCCGTCACAGTGACTCTGTATTCCGTATCTGTATCTGTATTCGTTTCGGCCAGTCCCGTCTCTATCTCTCGCCATTCTGCTCCAGTCTGAGCCCTGTTCCTGTCCCCGCTAAAGTCGCGTTCCGTTTCAGTCGTCGGGCTCAGCCGTGTTCCGACAAATGGCCACTCGGTACGCCGATAGTAAGGTCACCACAGATTACGAGGGCGTCGACAAGGTGCTTACCGGCGAGTGGGCCTTCATCAAGGTCAGTCGGGGCGTCACAGATGCTAGGTCATGACGGAGTGACCTTCAGTCGAGGTCACGGCAGGACAAGGCCTGATTGCCCGTGCCATGAGAGTGATTTATGGTGATTCTAAAATCTAAACGTTTACGAGCCAAAGTTTTAGTCCTATTTCAAATCACACTATTCCTAAGTTTGAAGCTCGGTTCTCCGTTTTCAGGAGCGTTCTTTCCTGGACTTTGCGCTCGACGAGGACTTTCAGCGTACGGGTCAGTGTCGTCTGCAGATAGCGGCGCGCGAGTTTTACACAGTGGGATTCGGCTGGGTGCTGCAGACCGGCAGTCCACTGAAGGAGCTCTTCGACCTCGAGTGAGTGGCGTGCCGGCGTGGAACCGTGGAGGGCTGCACCAGACTGGGTGATTATTTCTGAGAGTGTGATAGGACGCCCATCAGCCGCCGCCGTGAAACGAAGCACCGGATGTTTGGGCAGGCCCCTAACGGTCGATGATACGACAATAGAGCAGCATGGTTGATAGCATACACCGTCTACGAACAAAGTGTGATGCACGCAGGTATTGATTCCGTGTCGTAATACCTACAAGACTTTGATGAACTATTGTGCCCTTAGAGAATTGCTCGCACTATAAGGCAGTGTTATCGAAGACCGGCCTTTGTGTGCATTGTTGATGATGAGCCACTATAGATACTGGCCATTTTGTGTCAATCAAACCTTATCCGGATGTTTGTGTACTTGCACGTTTTTTTCAATCATACGTCCGACGATTGTTCGACAAATGATCCCACATTGTGTCGCTGTCATTGTGGACAGCGAATGTAGGGGAGAGTGGGGTGGGTTGTGTCAGTTTTTACTCCGAGACCCATAACCTCGTAACTATCCGTGATAAACTCATTATTTCCATACTATATCCTTCCTTGATTCTTCTGCTTTTTTGTCCAAAGTAACTTTTCCGCTACCTCTACCAGTTTTTCTTCTACGGTCTGCCGAATAGAACAATGTTTTTGATACAACTTGCCCCATGGCTTGGGTGAGTTGTATCACATGGTGGGGTAATTTGTATCACTAGGCATTTCACGTTTCAGGGAGTGTGCTTGCTACTGGTTTTGAACATAACAACATTAAATGGGGTTAATACAATGTTTATGCTCAAAGGCTTCACTTTTATTAGACCAAACTTAGGTCAATGCAATCCGAACGAAACATCGAAACGAACGAAACATCAACAGACTAGATGCAAAAGTGGCCCGTTAAGAGCAAAGAAGCCAACACATTGTGCCGAAATGGAACGAGTATTGACTAGCTACCTACAAACGCGAGACAGGGCCTAGCTTTCGCGATCAAAAGCAACATGCCCATACATACATACATGTTACAACATACCCCACCCGGCTCTGATACAACATGTACCTCGCCGCCATCTTGGAAAAAACATCCTCGTGCTCAAAAACAGCGGACAGCTGGAGAAATCCATTTTCACTCACGAAGCCTTAGAACCTACCCTCACCACCGCTACGGAGATCTTTCAAATTCGTGCACATCTAAATGCCCCAAACACACATTTTCTTGTAACTCATTTTTTTAGAATGACATTAAAAAAGCATAAAATCGGCTCTCTCCTCGAGACGCGTCCACCCAGCCACACGACAGAACAGGGAAAGATGGCGCCCGGAAAACCTCGTCGGCTGGTCGTGTCACGAGCGCTATCTATTGGATAAGTTTGGCACAATTCGCCCTGATACAACTTGGACATGATACAACTCTCCCCGCTCTCCCCTACATGTTTCTCCTTACAATAACGTTCAATAACGCCCGTCCTCGCCTCCTCCGCGTGTTCCTCGCCGCAGGTTTCTCCGTATGAGCGAGATGGGCCTGTTCGGCAAGTGGCGCGGCATGTACTGGCCGGCGCCATCCAACTGCAGCACGGGCCTCATCTTCACCGACGTAGGCAGCCAGCCGCTGGCGCTGGCCGACCTCGTCTCGGCGTTCCTGCTGCTCGCGCTGGGCGCTGTGCTGTCCACAGTAGTTCTGGCGGCGGAGATGATGTACCGCTCGGCCTGTGCCGGCCGGCGCTGAGGGAGGAGCGGCTGGGACAGTGGGTAGTGATGAAGCGTCAGTGGGAGATGGTGCCGCCGAGTGGAGGATGCTCTGGGTGGTGCGAGGCCGGTAGGCGGGGTTGATCAAGGTGGAAGGCGATGCCGAATTTAGACGGATGAGAGACGGCGCTGCTAAAACGAATGATGGAACGAATGCTTAATAAGACGCTGAGGGTTTTTAGAGTTAACAGATCGATATATAATATTTTATCTGATATGCTTTACTCGGTTAGGACTGTTATGAGGATATGCGCATCGCTTTGGGTTATCAGCTCCCAATAAGCACCGTGCGTTCGAATTAGCGATGTCTGTGATAGAGCACCTCGTCTATCGACACGAAGAGAGTACTTCTGAGTCGTTGGGCCATATAATCGTCTAGTTACGAGACTATAATCAGCACCGCTCACCTTATATGCTTACGTCAGACGGCGGACATTGTCATTGATCATCATAGGTATGTGTCGCAGTCCTCGAATATATCAACAAGATAATATTATAGTACCTATGTAGCTACTATTCAGATAAATAATTTATTTTAAAGGGGCAATATTTCAGGCATATGTCGTTACCATGGCCTTCTTGTATGCCGGTGATAGTGCAGTGCATGCATTTCCCTTGTGTTATTGTGGAAGACATACCTACTATGCAAAGCTACGAAGTCCTTGCAGTATGAGGCCGAAACGTCTTTTTTTCGGTGGTTTATCTACATTTCCTTTTATTGTTTGCACTCCTGAGCAATAAGTAATAAATAAGAAACAGGACATTTTTAGTAAAACGTGACCGTCTTTCGATGCGTCTCGAGTTAAAGCGCTTGGCAGTAGTGGCGGAACATCTTCAATTAAGGGGGGGGGGGGCACTGCCGACTTTTGGTCCCATTCTTTCCATGCAACGCCCATAGGGCTAATGTTAAAATGTCAAACTCAAAGGGGGGGCGGTGCCCCGGTGCCCTCCCCGTTCCGCCACCTATGGCGCTTGGATAGATACGTAGGCCTACATAGATAGATAGATAGATACCTATGTTTATATAACCATCGCATTCCGTTTGGCTCTCTCGTCAGTCTCATCTCGCTGCATTTGTCCTTCTGCCATAGCCTTGTCGGTACTCGTAGTTCAATGCGTGCATGTCCTTCCGCCCAGGCCCAATCCAGGTATATGTCCCACTCGGTGCGCTGCTTGCCTGTACGCATCTTCCTGCTTTTTTGGCATTCCGTGTCGTATCCTCTGTAGGTATATACACGCAAGTACCTACTACCATATCTGCAACATTCTATCCATTCGTTCGTCTTGATCCGGTACCCAAAACTGTGTCCGTTGATTCTTCATTGGCACACGTCTCGTTCCCTTCCAACGGCCGTAGTCTATTGGCTATACCTTCTGCCCGTCCGTCTCTGTCCGTTAAACCGTCTCTGTCTCTCTGGACTCTGCTTCGGAACAGCGATGACAGGCTTGGTCGCCCTCCTTGTCGTTTCTCACCCGTCTCTTGTCAGACCCTTTCGGTCTGGCGAGACCATTTCAGAGGTGGAAGGATGATAGGAATTAGGGGGAGACATTGGTCTGGGCAGACACCCTAGAGAGTCGCCGGGGCTGAGCCCGTCCGAATAGATAAGCCGACCAGCCCCCCCCCCCCCCAAGCACTCTCTGCACCTGGATACGGGTGTGCTCCCTTGGGATCCAGCGGTGCCGCTCCAAGGGAGCAGCCCGCATCACGCATGAGATAAAGTTGCCTGTCCAGCCCGGAGCGAGGTTCGCGGCGTGGACGAGAAGGATATTTTAACATCCTGAAGGTGGAAGCGACGGACGGGTGGACATTCTGTCCGTCAGACTGTCAGTTCGTCTTTTATGCCTTGGTCCGTGAAAACCGCCTCCCTGCGGCCTGCCTCTTACCTACTGTTTAATGTCTCCCTTTAATCTTAATCCATTTAATCTCCCGCGACCCGTCCTATCCGTCTTTCCTCCCATCCTTTTTTTACTCAGCTAGCACCCACAGAATTTCTATCTGTACCTCATTCTTGTCAATCCATCCACTTAGGCGGGTATTTAAAAATCCGATAAACTGTCACTTCATCCGCTCGCCCGTGTCCGTCCCGTCCGTGTCCGTTCCGTCCGTGTCCGTACTCCGTTCCGTCCGTGTCCGTTCCGTCCGTGTCCGTTCCGTCCGTGTCCGTTCCGTCCGTGTCCGTTCCGTCCGTGTCCGTTCCGTCCGTGTCCGTTCCGTCCGTGTCCGTTCCGTCCGTGTCCGTTCCGTCCGTGTCCGTTCCGTCCGTGTCCGTTCCGTCCGTGTCCGTTCCGTCCGTGTCCGTGTCCGTTCCGTCCGTGTCCGTACTCCGTTCCGTCCGTGTCCGTACTCCGTTCCGTCCGTGTCCGTACTCCGTTCCGTCCGTGTCCGTACTCCGTTCCGTCCGTGTCCGTTCCGTCCGTGTCCGTTCCGTCCGTGTCCGTCCGTATGTGTCCGTCCCGTCCGTGTCCGTCCCGTCCGTGTCCGTCCCGTCGTCCATCCCGTCCGTGTCCGAGTCTCGCCCGTGTCCGAGTCTCGTTCGTGTCCGTCCGTATGTGTCCGTCCTACCCAGCGTATCGTCCCGTCCCGTCCCGTCCGCCGAGTCCGCCGGGTCGTCGTTTATTCCGTCTCGTGCTCTCATCCCTCGCCTCCAGATCCGCATCCGACCGACCGCGACCGCTCCGGGTCCGGAGCCAAACTGGGCCTAGGCACCAAGATTACTTTACTACTCGTAGGCACAATTTTGGTAGGCACTGCCTCTCTAAGGCTCTAAGTCTAGTCTCTGCAATTCTGCATCGGGCATCCTGATCCCGGATCCGCCCGCTTGTTCGACCCATTTCGTGCCCGCCAAAACAAAATATCTCCATTTGATACGACCGTACGGGCCGCATATAGTCCTATGTACGTACGGCCCAAGCGTACGGACCATACGGGCCATTCGAAGCGTCATCCAAGGCTAAAGTAATCTTGATCCAAGGCCCTATATAGGGTTTTGGCGTCATCCGTCAAGACAGGCGTCACGCCTTCGTCGCCAGAAATATGGCAGCAATCCTTCGTCGGACCATTTTTGGCAAATGGCGTCGGTTGTTGAAGGAATGCCATTGATTGGGTGAGTCCGTTGCTTTGTTCCTTGAATTTTCGCGTGCTGATCATGGGAACTGTGGTGTATGATTATTTTTTGTCATGTACACTTTTGTTTAATCACAAAAATCCATGATTTGTTATTTGTCTTTTCATTTGTTTTTATTTTCCGAACTATTTCTTCATCGTAATTCTTAGGCAAAAGTGGCGCAGACATTGTTTTGAAAATTGTCTGCTTTTATCATTTTTAAACATTTGCCCGGTGTTTTGTTGGCAATATTGCTATTATTTGCATAAATGGCAATGACTGTTGTAAGTTTTTGCAATCATACTGGTTCTGGTTCCTGATAACATCTGCTTGATGTGGAAGCATGGCAGCAAATGTCAGCTTACCTCTTTGCAGATTGAAATTGAATTGCCAATCTGACATTTTTGATACTTCAAGTCACCACAATGATGCACATTGTGCAGTGGCGCGGGATCCAGGGGCTAGCGGGGCCCCGCCCCAACATTTCGGCTAGGGGGTTCATAATGTATTTGAGCCCCCCCCCATAGCTGGAGGAATCGAAATCAGAAATCTACCAACATAAATTCATAGATTCATACATAGGCGCGGGAACCATGGGGAAGGGGGCAGGGGGGAAGCTTGCCCCCACAACTCTGGGGCTGTGGGGGTGGTGCCCCACAACTTTTCATGAGGCCAGGAACTGTTTGGGCAGCTTGTCCTCCCCAAATTAGGGGTTGTGGGTCACAAAGGAAGAAAGCATGTGTGAAAAAATCCACCTCTTTCACTGGCTCGGCAACTCATTTGGCAGATTAAAACCTTGATTCCAGGTTGCCACTCAGTCAGCTGATATGGAATACCTCACTTTTTTGCAAATATTTTTGTTTTTTTTCGTTGAAAAGGCAAAGGTCTGAAAAATAAGTGGCCTAAAACCGGTGAGAAAATTATATTTGGGGGTACCCTAGATTGATCTCTATTATGGTTCAGCCCCCCAGTCTGGAAGAAGTTCAGGGTGCTGTCTCGGCCGCTCGCCAACAACATGGGTGTCTTCCAAGGTTCTGTACTGGGTCCGCTCCTGTTTACCGTCTTCTCTAATGACTTGTCATTACACGCTGAGGGAGCACTCGTGTACCAGTACGCCGACGACACCCAGGTGTTGGTGAGCGGCCCGAAGGACGACCTCAGGGGACTCACCTCGCGCATGGAACGCTCCTTAGAATCACTCAGTCGCTGGTTTATCTCTCATGCTCTCAAGGTCAACGCTAACAAAACCCAGCTCGCCGTCTTTGGCAGTCGTCAGAATCTCCGATCACTTCCGGACATTGAGGTAAATTTTTGCAACGTAGTCTTGAAACCACAAGCGGAGGTGAGAAACCTGGGTGTCGTCTTCGACAGTGCTCTGTCCTGGGAATCGCATGTGTCCGAGCTGAGCCGTCAGTGCATGGGTGTACTGATCGGCCTATCCCACTGTCGACACTACCTTCCCGATGGCGTCATCAAGGTGTTGGTGACGGCGCTGGTGCTCTCGCGGATCGGATACTGTCTCTCGGTATACGGAAACGGCACGCAAAAAAACTTAGACAGGCTCCTCAAGATACTTAACTTTGCGGTGAGAGTGATTTTCGGCAAACGTAAATTCGATCATGTGTCCGATCTGCGGGAGCAGCTGCGCTGGATGATGCCACGGCAGATGATGGAGGCGCAGACGCTGACTCTCGCGTACAAGGTGCTGCGGTGGGGCGAGCCTGAGTCACTGGCTGACGCGTTTACTCGCTGCCGCGATGTGCGCCAGAGAACGACCAGGCAGGACGGCCTCTTCCGCCTACCCCGGCCGAGGACAGAGGCCGGGAGGCGCCGGTTTGCGTACCGCGCGCCGTCCCTATATAACTCGCTGCCCGCCGGTGTCGCAGAGATGTCCCACCGGTGTTTCGCTCGAGCGGTGCGGGCTCAGCTGATGGCGCCGGGTGCGTGAGCGCGTTTAGCTGTGTGATGTGTGATGTGTGGTGTTTGTCGGCTTATGAATGTGACGATTCTGACCTGCATGCTTTTATCCATGAGCTTATGACTTGGGGCTGTAATAGCCACGATGCATTGTGGATTGCCCTGCAATTGTAATACATACATACATACATACATACAAGTTCCCGTGCCACTGACATTTGCACTGATTGGATGTTGCCTTTTTGGTTCTTATCTCATAACTTTTCATTATCATCTTTTTCAGGTGATCCGAGGCTTGGAGCATCTCAATCTTGACCTAGGGTCTCCGCGTAATATTTGAGTGCGAGGTAAGGATGTTTTTTTATTCTTGTTGACAGACTAGAGGATCATAAGTTAGTCAGATAATTATGAAAAACATGGTGTGTTCCTAGAGTTTTGTAGCATTGCCACTGAATTAGCAAATTATGCTGTGACATATTGTCACATTAATAAAAAATAAGTGTAAGAAAATGTTTCAAATCACTATCTTACACTCCTCAGGTTCACCCAGCCTAACAAATATTTTTAGATGATTTCCTAACCCTAACTGCCAAAATTAACAGTCATGTATGACTAATTGCTTAGTGAATTTATGAACTGGACCTTCTGATTTTTTTAAGTACCTGCAATTAAGCAAAGAGAGGTTTGTATTGGTCAGATTTAAAGTCTTTTGAATCACTTTGAGTGCAAATGTAAATATGGCATGAGACATGCCATTGCGATGAATATAAAATCAAAAGTGAAATCAAGAGTAATATTATACTTTCAGCTTAAAGCTTCACCTGTGCCTTCCACTTAAGCACTTGAAGCAATTAGACAGGCTGATTAAGAAACTAGTGATGAAATGCTAAGCTGGACTGTACTGAAACCAACCTAAGCTTTAATTTTGCATTACATTACTTAGCTTCAAGTGTTTGCTAGAAGCTGGTGGCTCACTACATAAAAGAATTCAGAAATGAAATGGAAGACAAGTGATTATGTAAATGCCTTACCATTTAGTCATGTTAAGGATGCCAGAATGACTGTAAAAAATAATCCTTTGAATGTAGTTATGTAGTAAAAAGTGACATTTTCTCTTTGAAGATGCATTAGATGGGAAATGATTTACTCCACAATTTAGACATTGGCAGTGAGTGCAATCTGATTTCTATTTTCAATTTATTATTTATCTACCATGTGGGTAGTGTAGCTTTGAAACATCAGAAAAGATGGCATTTGTGGAGTTTATTACCTCAGGATAATCATTCACAAGAGTTGTTATTTAAGAGTTGTCTTGAATTTTGCAGCTCATGTGATGTAGGTACTCATTTTTATATGCAGTCCTGTTCTCATGGTGATGCGAATGATATTTATTCGAGACATGTGCACTTTTGTGTCAGCTGCCTGCCAAAATGTTCAGGGATGAATATGCACCAGCAAGCCACAAGTCAGGTAATCATGCACATTTTGTACAATCGTTGCATGCACAATGCGTGTCTAAGATACATTTTTGCCAAGAGATGTATGGCGCTGTCACTGTCTTGTGCCCTAATCGGTAGTAAGATATAGCCAGTAGTGTAAACCTGTGTCCAATGCCCGGTCACGGGGGCATCTGCCCTCTAATCAGTGGCCTCCTGCCTCACAACCCCCGGTGCGGTGTGCGGCAGCGGGCGCCGGCGGCAGCAGCGATGAGCGGCGCCGGCGACCAGCGCGTGTTTCTGGTGGACGGCCAGGCCGTGTACCTGGAGGGAGGCGGCGACATCTCGGAGGACGTACTGCAGCAGGCGCTGGCGCAGCTGGCTGGACGGGGCGCCACCGCCACCGAGGAGCAGCAGCAGGCGGGCACCGTGCTCGGTAAGCGCCTCTGCAAATGGGGACGGAGTATGGAATCGATTGTTGGTGCCTAATTTGTCGGTGGTGCTAACGCCGACCAATGATGGAGGCGGATGCAGCATTTCATTTTTCCAAATAGGCCAGGGCCGATGGTTCCGTGTTCCGTGTATTTCCTGACCGACCCACTTAATGTGAATTGTGGGCGGACGACCACATTGCTAACAGAGACTTAGTGACTTGGCTATGCTGCAACCTTAGCTGCGGCGTAGCTGCTGAAAGTTACCAGATCGTGAGTTGCATTGCCGAAGCTGTCCGTCCCAGTAAGCGGTACCGCTGAGTCTAACCCAACCACTCTGCTGTCTGTGTGCGCGCCCACAGAGGTACAGGACGATGGCGGCGCCGCTGCCGGCGGGGCCAGCGGTGACGCCGTGGAGCTGGCGGACGCAGAGGACGGCGAGGAGGGTGTACTGGCCGTGCTGCAGGACGAGACCGGCCAGCAGCAGACGGTCCGACTGACCCCCAGTCAGGCGGCCGCGCTCGGAATAGACTACGACGAGCTGCTGGCCGCCGCCGGACAGGTGGGTTCGTCACACAGTCTCCGGATAGGCGGGCTCGTTAGACAGTCTCCGGACAGGTGGGTTCGTTAGACACTCTCCGGACGGGTGTATGTCTGTCAGTTTCTGGACCAGCTTGCGTGTGTCAGGACAGCCTCTGCGTGTCCGGTGTCTGTCAGATAGTCGCCGAACAGGTGGGTGTCAGACAGACAGAGTCGTCAAGCAGGACGTATCTTTTAGACCAGGGGTGCGGAGCCGGAGCCGGCACATTTTTTGCCGGGAGCTGGAGCCGGAGACGGAGCCGCCATGACATTTCACCCGGAGCCAGAGCCGGAGCCGGAGCCATTTTATTTCTCCGAAGCCGGAGCCGGAGCCGAATCTGTCTGAAATTTCCACGGCTCCGCATCCCTGATTTAGACAGCCTTTGTATGTTGAATGAGTGTATCTGACTGTGTCTATCTGAATATGTCTTGTTGTGTCTCAGAGAACGTGTATCTACCAAAGTGTATGTCAATGTGTGACGGTGTGCCGTCGTTACCGTCAGGTGGAGCCGTCGACGGAGGAACAGGAGGAGTCTGCCGACGCCTCCGCTACTGAGCAGCAGCTCTCCACCGGCGGGGTGCTGGCCCTGGACGCCGGTAAAACCGAGGAGGGAGATAGCAAGGTGAGCGAGAGGCGTCAGACGGGCACACTGGGACCGGGGTGGGGCCGAGGCACAGGGAACTGGTGGTGCTGACCCTGGGCGCCGGTAAAACCGAGGAAGGCGACAGCAAGGTGAGCGAGTGAGGCAGGAGCCTACAGACGGGGCAGTCTTATTTAAAATTGTGATATAATGCATTTATGTTTGTCCAATCGAGTGAGGCATACATAGGATGAAACATGGGAAATTATTAGCGCAATTTATTAGTGGAAATTAATTAGCGAAAAATGATCCACTTTCCTTAGACAAAACTGATACTCCAGCCTCCAGGATATGGATAAACATCGAACTTGCCATACAAATTTTGCTAACGACATGATGGATTGTTTATTTTCGGGATATTATTTGCACAGGCACATGTTTGGGCGCTGCTGTCCTCCACCCACCCTTCACCTGCCAAGTTGCCTGATGCCTATTGGAAGCTGGGACACAACAGTAGCGCCACCTATGTATACGGTGGCGCCGCGTGGTAGAGTGCTAGATCGGTGTGCCGTGGATCGGTTTACTTGGCAGTTAATTCATCAATATATAGGCAGCGTGTCATACAGCGAATGGCTGTATTGGTATGAATCTTTTTGTGTTACTTATACTTGCTTTACATCTGTTCATGGATGTTAAACTTACTGACATCCATTCCCAATCAGTGTATCTTTTGTTTTTCCCACCTTTCGTGTGGATCACTGCTAGTTTGCATAGTGTCATATGCAAATAGATCCATATGAACATATTCCACCTCTCCTTAATGACAAAGTCATTGATCCATTTAAAAATATCGGCCCATCAGGGCTCTCGTTTCAACATCAGAGGTTTGAGCAGCTCAGAAATGATTGTAAACATGTTGTATCCTCCAGTCCTGGATCATTCTTACATAAGCACAGCACTGAACTCCTCATCTTACATGTTAACACCAGATCTATCTTAACTAATGATAAGTTCGAGGAATTCCAAACTTTCCTCTTCACTACAGGTAAACATTGGAGCATCATTTGCTTATCAGAAACTTGGCTGGACTCAAGCACCGAACAATATAGACATCTAGATGGCTACACATCTATATTCAACAGTCGCCAAGATAGAACTGGTGGAGGAGTAGCACTATATGTATGCAATGAATGCATAAATTCAACATCTCTCATGCAGCATATCAACATAGCTGGGGTTGAAGCTACATTTGTAGAATGTACTCTGCAGTCCATTAAGTTCATAATTGGGGTTGTGTATAGACCACCAAGAGTTAATTCAACACTATTTATAGAAAAAATGACAGAGGTATTAGAAGAAATTGGTCATACTTAAAAAATGTTATAATTGCAGGGGATTTTAACTTTGACCTTTTTCACACATCAACAGAATCCTCTGTTGAGAGCTTTTTTAACATGTTTACTTCTCACGGCTATTTCCCTTGTATCTCAAGAACTACGAGGCTGGCTGCTGAAAGTGCTTCTCTCCTTAATAATTTCTTTTCCAACAATCTTGACATAATAGAAAGATCAGGTATTATCATAAGTGATATATCCGATCACTTTCCTATCCTTGTTGGTCTCACTCTTAAAAATGACAGACATAATCTTACAAAACAGACTGTTACCTCATTTAATTATCACAAGATACATGATTTACGATCTTACTTGCAGACGGAACTGACAGACTTCTTTCAGGAAACAAATGCAGAGAATGCGTGTAAAATTTTAATTGATGCGTATACGTCCGGGATTGCTAGGTACAGTAGTACCTATACACCTTCCCGCAAAAGTACGCCAATTAAGCCATGGATCACTCCTGGCCTACTCGCTTCAATTAATAAGAAAAATGAGCTGTTTCGTATCAAGTGCAAACATCCTACTACTTATAACATAAGCAGTTATAAGAAATACAAGAACATGTTCACTAAAGTTTTACGGAATGCTAAAAAGATTTACTACCAAACTGCACTGCATGACTGTGGTCCTAAAGAAACCTGGCGAATACTTAATGAAATGACTAAAGGCAACGCGCCTGAAGGAAAATATCTACCGCTTTTAAGATTGACAATGATATTGTCAAAGATCCAGAAAAGATTGCTAAATCTTTCAACTCGTACTTCTCACAGGTTGGAAAACAACTGGAGGAACTGATTCCCCCTAGTCATATCGACCCATTGGGAAGCTTTCCTAGTGAAATAGGAAATACAATATCATCTTTCACAGATACAAATGAAGTAGAACTTGAAGAAATCGTAAAAGGTGCGAAAAATGTTGGCGCTGGGATCGACGGTATCAATGCACGCATATTTAAAGCAACTTTTCGTGTAATACGTAGACACCTTGTATATCTTATGAATCTTTGTTTACGACAAAATGTATTCCCTCTGCCCCTGAAAAGAGCTGTTATAAAGCCGATTTATAAATCCGGAGACAAACAGAGCTTTAACAATTATAGACCTATAAGTATACTGCCTTTTATCTCGAAGATACTGGAAAAAACTGGTCTTTATCGGCTCGATACTTTTTTTACTTCAACGATAC